TGTGACCTGGCTCTAGGCACCATAGCCTATAAGCTTTCACTCCTTCAGGGTATCCCATAAACATGCATTTCAGAGCTCTAGGTTCGACCTTGTCTTGCCTAATGTGAGCATAGGCTACACAGCCAAATACTCTTAGTTTGTCGAGATCTGGTGGATGTCCCGACCAAACTTCTTCGGGTGTCTTCATATCTAACGCTGTCGAAGGACATCTGTTTATCAGATATGCTGCTGTCGAAACAGCCTCAGCCCAAAACACCTTCTTTAATCCAGCACTAGTCAACATGCATCTAACTCTCTCCAAAATAGTTCGATTAAACCTTCCAGCCAAACCATTTTGTTGTGGAGTACCTGCGGTCGTTCTGTGCCTTGCAATACCAGAGGCAACACAAAAACTGTCGAACGCCTCATTGCAAAACTCAAGGCCATTGTCGGTTCTCAACCTCTTTACCTTTCTGCCAGTTTGATTTTCGACAAGAGTCTTCCAACTTTTGAAATTTTCAAAAGTTTCATCCTTAGTCTTCTGGATGAATACCCATAACTTTCTGGAATAGTCATCTACTATGGATAGAAAATACTTTGCTCCTGAATGTGATGGACACCTTGCAGGCCCCCAAAGGTCAGCATGGATGTAATCAAGGGATCCATGTGTTCTTTGTTTGCCTTTGTTGAACTTCATTCTACAGGACTTTCCAAGTACACAGGGTTCACAAAACTTCAGCTTTTCGACTTTATCTCCACCAAGCAGATTTTGTTTCCCTAATTCGACCAGACCCCTTTCACTGACATGGCCCAATCCCAATCTCATGTGCCAAATTTCTGTCTTCGACAAAGGTTTCGTGGATGCAACATTTGTCGAACCACTTACAACTTCAGCCTCAAGGGTATACAAGCCTTGTTTCTTCACGCCTCTCAAGACTTCCTTCGACCCTTTCATGACTCTTAGGATACTTTTCTCTCCTTGAAAAACATATCCTTTCTTGTCGAATTCACCAAGAGAAATCAAATTTCTCTTCAAATCAGGTACATACCTGACTTCAGTCAACAATCTTATTGACTCATCATGGAGCTTGAATCTCACAGATCCAACGCCTGCAATCTTGCAAGCTTTGTTGTTTCCCAGCAATACAGATCCACCATCTTGATCACATAATTCCTCGAACAAGTCTTTGTTTGGAGTCATGTGCCAAGTGCATCCAGAATCCATAATCCACTCCTTCGACGAGTTGTTGCTTGAAACCACAAGAACATCAGATGATTCGAAATCATCTTGGACAATAGCTGCATTTCCATTATCCTTACCTCCATGATCTTTCAGGCGTTCAGGGCACACCTTTCTTGTGTGACCTACTTTCTTACAGTGATAACATCTAATACCAGATGCGTCACCACTATAAGACTTCGACTGATTTTTACCTTTCCTCTTGTCGAATTTTCCTTTAACAGCCAAACCTTCACCAACCGTCGAAGGTTTATGCTCCTTACGTTCGTTCAAGTCCTTAGAGTGCAAAGCTGATTGAACTTCTTCAAAGGTCAGGGACTCTCTTCCATACAAGAGGGTTTCTTTGAAGTGAGCATGTGATCTGGGCAAAGCGCACAATAATAACAGCGCTTGATCTTCATCATCAATCTTTACATCAATATTTTCAAGATCAAGAATCAGCTTGTTGAACATATCCAACTGCTCAGCCAACACTTTGTCTTCAATCATCTTGAATGAATACAAAGCTTGCTTCAGGTAGAGTCGATTTACCAGAGATTTGGTCATATACAAACTTTCAAGTTTCACCCATAACCCTGATGCCGTCGTCTCCTTTGATACCTGTCGAAGAACCTTATCACCAAGGCTCAACAGAATTGCGCTGTGTGCTTTCTCGATCATGGCCGTCTTCTCTCTTTCTGTTAACGCAGCGTCCATCGCCGTCGCTCCCTTCAACGCTTCCAAACAACCCTGCTGAACCAGTAGGGCTTTCATCTTCAAGCGCCATAGACCGAAATCATTCACTCCGGTGAACTTTTCAATCTCATACTTTGTTGAAGGCATCTTCTCCACGCTCACCGCACCAATTTGTTGTGAATTCAATGCCAATAGCAAAGTATAGAATTAAGGGAGGAATAACGAACAAGGAAGAAGAAGAACACAAGAATTGGTTATAACTGCTATTCTTTACTTTCTCTTAGGAAACAAGATTACAAGTTTACAAGAATAACAAATAACCCTCTCACCCTATATTAGGATTTGCTGTGATGGCAATGATGAGAGACTAGTATGCTATTTATAATAAAACCTAACATACTAACTAATGGGCTTTTTCCACAAGGCCCATTATACAAGCTAACTTAACAAACAAGCTAACTTAACAAATTAGGGTTTAAACATTAAAACCTAATTCGACAAGCATCCTTCGACAAATACATGCTAGAACCTTCTTCGACTACAGCAAGTACTTCGACCAACTAGAGTTCGATCCAAAATCCCACACACACTTTGATGGAAGAAAATCTCTTTACAGCCATAAACTCCATATGTAATTATGAAATATTGTAAAAAAAATTATCATATTTGGTTAGGGACCGTACAAGATAAGCTACCAACAAAGGAGACTCTACAAAAAGGATGCATTTTATATGACATTTCTTCACTCAATTGTTTATTTTGCTTTGATAGTTTGGAACTTTAAACCATTTTTTCTTCTCTTGTGCCAAAGTCAAACATCTATAGAAAGACTTTCTACAATGGATAGGAAACCATTCGATGATTGAGGACTCTCGGTTTGATCATTTATTTAAATTTGGAGAATTTCTACTGCATTTAATAAGGTGTCTAATACATGTTTGATGATCTAATTTGCAACTTATTGGGTGATTTAGAATACTAAAACTCAAATTATGTTTAAAGAAGAAATCATTCATATTGAGGTGAAAAGCGAAGACATTAAAAGAATAAGTTTGTTTTGGCTATTAAGTAAGAAATTTGCTACTCTATCGTAAATATTATGATCCAGTAAACATATATTTATTATGTTTATACGAATTGTAACTTATATTATTCTACCATTTACTGAAATAGACGTATCCATTATACTCTTTATTAATATCATTTTGTTTATAAAAAGATTGCGATAAATGAAATTGATGCGACTATAGCTACATTTTTCATGTAAAATAGTTAATATTGTGGTTACAATTGTGCGATAAACTAAAACTTAAATTGAATTCTTCTTTCCCTCAACAGGTCATTTTAGAGTATCATTTGACTGTTTACTTAAGTATACTCTTTAAGCAGCTTAAGTGGGAATACCTTCGTTATCAAAGGAATACTAACTTATTACAAAATTATTTATTTATTGCAATATTTAAAAACACCAACATTTTGTTCTTATTTGCCACGGAACATGGGAAAACATAATAAAATTGTCACAAAAGGACCCTCAAAAGAATTGAGAACTACATTAACATTATAATATAAAAAACTAGTGGGTCCTTCTAATATTTTACCAAACCACAGTCCAAAATAGAATTAAATAACTATAGAAAATAAAAGAATAATTACGTTAGAAAGCTGGCTTGTCATTTTGTGCTTGTCTTTGATTTGTTGAAGATTGAATCAACTGTTTATGAGCATCATCAAAGTGTGAAAATGGAATAATATCCAAAAAAATATATATATAATATTTTAGAAAGCTACTAATTCTGTAGTCTCTTCTGATCCTTAATTATGTCACTAATTCACATAAAAAGTATACTATAAATATTAGATGTGGAAGTAAAGAATTTTATCCATATTTTACCTTGACTTGAACACAAACATCTTCCTCAAAAGTTGTTCATGAGAAGTATAAATAACATATTTTTTTCTCCATAAATTTTATATCATCACTATAAAGTTATCTTGATTTTCATCAAAATTATACACTATCTTCATTAGAGGTATAGTTAAAGGAGGCAAAAGCTTTGGGAACATATACAACTTCTTAGAGTAAGAAAATTTTCATAAGCTGTGAGTTGAAACTTCTTTAAGAGCCTTTTGCTTCTATAATTGTTTTTGAGAATAGCATGTTTAAACTGGGTTTTGTTTGATTTTTCAAAATTTGAATAGGACAACTTGATTTTTTTTCATGAATTTTGATTCCAAATTATAAGAGATTTCACGTATATACACAGGTAACAAAACTTAATGATAATTGTACCATCATTTTTTAGTATAACTTGCTTTTAAATATATTATAGTATAAATATAATCTCTTAACTTAATGATAGAAATATGTCAAACAAAACATAATGATAATTGTACCATCATTTTTTATTGCATATATATTTTATTGTTAACAATGTGAACGCGAGAAATCTTAGATGACAAAAAATGGTTTGATTTTGATTCAACGATTTTAAATTAATAACTTAGTGAATGCGTTGATTATGGAAAATTCAATTTCATGTTTCCATGCATGTGAAAAGAGAATAACCAAGAATATTATACTATTATAATAATAATAATAATAATAATAATAATAATAATAATAATAATAATAATAATAATAATAATAATAATAATAATAATAATAATAAAATAATAATAATAATAATAATAATAATAATAATAATAATAATAATAATAATAATAATAATAATAATAATAATAATAATAATAATAATAATAATAATAATAATAATAATAATAATAATAATAATAATAATAATAATAATAATAATAATAATAATAATAATAATAATAATAATAATAATAATAATAATAATAATAATAATAATAATAATAATAATAATAATAATAATAATAATAATAATAATAATAATAATAATAATAATAATAATAATAATAATAATAATAATAATAATAATAATAATAATAATAATAATAATAATAATAATAATAATAATAATAATAATAATAATAATAATAATAATAATAATAATAATAATAATAATAATAATAATAATGTGTCATATTTAATTGTTACTTACTATGCTCAAACCTCTTGCAGATGGAAGAAAGAACTGAGATGGATAATATGAAGGTTGATGATTTGATGCCTGGTTTTCGTTTTCATCCCACAGATGAAGAACTTGTTGCTTTTTATCTCAAAAGAAAAATTCAACAAAAATCTCTTCCTATTGAACTTATTAAGCAAGTTGATATTTACAAATATGATCCATGGGACCTTCCAAGTAAGAACTCTTATAACACTTTTTTCTAACTTTTTCTTCTTTTTACATAAAACCCATTTCGTTTTACATGATATCTAAGATGAAAATAATTTGAAGAATAATTTGAAAATTTTGAAAATTTCATAAGTGGTGAGTAAATTAATCAATACATTCTATTTCTTTTGTGGTGACAAAAAAATTGACTTATTTTTTATTATTTAATTTTTGTGTACAAAAAGAGCTTGCAAGTAGTGGTGAGAAAGAATGGTATTTCTATTGTCCAAGGGACAGAAAATACAGAAACAGTTCAAGGCCTAATAGGGTTACAAGAGCTGGATTTTGGAAGGCCACAGGAACTGATAGACCTATCTACTCATCAGATGGAAAATGCATTGGTTTGAAGAAGTCACTTGTCTTCTATAAAGGTAGAGCTGCCAAAGGTACCAAAACTGATTGGATGATGCATGAATTTAGGTTACCTTCCATTTCAGATTCATCAACTTCTCCTCCCAAAAAATTCTCAGACAAAAGTTTCTCTCCAAATGTAAGTACTTTAGTACTTATTTTATAAAATTATATATATTATTATATTGTATGATTCTGATTCACATACAACTAAATTGCATGATTATGGTTCGAACCTTAAAATATTATTAATATTTTATCAATTGAATTAGGCTCTATACTAAACTAAGTGTTTTATGAATTTTCAGGATTCATGGGCAATTTGTAGGATTTTCAAGAAAACAAATTCTCTTTCCATGGTGCAAAAAGCTTTATCTCATCCTTGGATCTCTCAATTACCAGGAAACATGGTATCTGAATTACTCGGACAAACTACAAACATCAATCAATTCTATTCAGAAAATAATATTTCGTGTGCAACAATAGAACAAAGATCATCAACAACAACAAACGTACAAATGTAAGTTATTACATAAGATATTTTTAATAAATTTTTTTAAATAAAATTATATATATATATATATATATATATATATATATATATATATATATATATATATATATATATATATATATATATATATATATATATGGATTAGATATATTAATTATTTGATAAATATATACTTTTTATTTAATGTATAATTTTTATATCCGTCGTTGATCATCGATATTTAATTTTACAGCAACAAGAATGAGATGCAACAAGTCACCAACACTAACAACAATTTCTCACCAGATTTTCCAACATACAAACCTATAAACAACATTAACACAATTTCCAAATCCTCACAAATTCAAGTTCCTATTGGAGACATTGTTGATAACCTAATGTTCTACAATCTTGAAGCCAATGGTTCAACAAAGTGCACAATTGATAATGATTGTTCAATTCTTTCAAACACAGACTACATTGGTTTTGAAGACACAAATAATCAATATAATGGATTTTCGATTAGTGTACCTCAAGATATGCAACCTAACATTCAAGATCAAATGCAGCTTAATAATCAATGGGAAAATCTTGGAAGAACACTTGAATTTCCCTTCAATTTGTCTCCAAATTTTGATAGTTTGAGGACTAATGTTACATGGGACATACCACCTTGTACTAGTGAAATTTCCACAACATATGCCACTAGTAAATGTTACACTTAGGATATGTTTGGATTTGTGTAAAATTAATTAGGTCCTTGTTATAGCAAGCAATAGTTATAGAGTGGTTAATTATCAATTTTTAACAATTAGTATATTTACCAATAAAATCATTACCATTTTAATTGGTTGTGATTTTACTAGTAAATGTACATGTTTTATTGTTTGTTTATATCTATAATAGAGTATTGCGTTGTATAAGATAAAGTCATGTATAGAGACAAATAGATACAAAAATATAGGGTTTTTGTATATATAATCTTTAAATTTTTATATGTAACAATATAGTAGTTTATGTACTATTTTTAAAAAATTTGTTTTTTACTTCTTTTATATATATATATATATATATATATATATATATATATATATATATATATATATATATATATATATATATATATATATATATATATATATATATATATATATTCACTTCCCCACAAATTCTAATAACTTAGAAGCCAAGAAAGCTTGGAAGAGATAGTTTAGATTTTTTTTTTTTTCAATTTTGTCAAATTTCATGACGTCGAATCTACTCATAAAACATAATAATATTAAACTCTTTAAAAAAAACAGTATATTTTAATAAATAAATTAGGAATATCTTGTAATCTTGTTATTTGGAACATATAGCTGTAAAGGTTGAAAAAAGTTAAAACAAAGCACAACATGCATTCAAAGACTATAGACTTATATTTTGGATGCAATTAATAAAATTAAAAAAAAGTTAGCTTTCATGGTTTTGGATAAGCAATACTATTAGCTATAGCACATAATTAAATAGACGAGTGGAAATTTGTTACGTGTAAGAATGAATTTATCATAGCAGACAGATGAGACATTTTGTGTGATCACTTTCACATTATAGATTGTGTGAAATGAAAAATCTAATTTTTGGGCTCTAGCATGAAATTCAGGGACTACAGTCTAAATTCATTTGCATGTGGCGACGTGGAAATTAAATTCAATATTTCATCAATTCGAAGAGGCAAATATGTTACGTAGAAATTTTCATTCTTAGTGTATGAACAAACTCAAAATGCATGTCCCATATCTAATAAACAACAAAAAGGAAAAAAAAATTGGTGTATCTTTTAGTTGTGATTTATATTTTTTTAACGAAGATATCATAAATTTACAATTTTCTCTTACATATGTATAAATTTTTTTTAATTTTTATTCTTTAATAAATATTTAGATCTGTTTATCATATTTTTATTAGAAAAAAATATAAATCATATCTATAAAATTGTATCTAAGTATTCTCCAAAAATAAATAAATATATGTGTATTATATTCTTCAATATTAATTCAATAGTTCATAAGAGCAAGTTCGGTTGATAAATATATGTGTACTATATTCTTTAAACAATCAAATAAGTTTTTGATCTCTCTAAATATTTTAAATTTTAATTTTAGTTTTTTTAAAATCTTGTTTTAAAGAATGGTCTTTTTAAAATCTTACCGGTTAATCAGAAGCTGAATGTGGGTCTTGATGACGACTCTGTTTGGTTGGAAATATGAGGAGAGTAGGGGGTGTACCTGCAAGACACTCCGACAATTAAGTAAGAATGGATGCAAAGAGATACAAGAAAGATATTAGGGTTTTAGGTTTGAATATTGGATATCTTACCCTCACATGTGTGAGGATTTATATAATGCCTCCGGTGCTTGACCATTGGTTCTTATTTTTGGGCTTAGATATGCGGGTTCACAAAAATAGATAACTGCCATGACTGGATCAAAACGAGAAGTCCTGCCCGTAACTAGCTATTGCATCGAGCAACAATGAGATGACGAACATAAGCGTTTATGAGGGTTTCTTGGGTATCTTCTATGCGTGTGATGAGCAGACTGAGTGGTGAGCGCCCGTATGGGCGGGTGCGTGTTTTGGGCATCACTGGTCATGTCGCTCGAAAGCGCATCCGACCAGAGATGTTGGGATAGCGTTGTTGGGCCATGTCAAGGGTAGAAGCAGATTTGACCAATTCTAGTTATTGAGCCAGTCTAGAACAGGAGCCCCTAAAGTCGTTGCTCCTAGGCGTAGGAGTGATGACATAGAGTCATCCCGTGAGGAGTCGAGTACGCTTCTGGATGTGCTTGGGGAAACTATGTCGAGGAGCTCAAACGTGGTCCTTTTGTGTTCAGCACGCGGGGAGCTGAACAGGTGATTGGATCTTTGAGAGGTGGCGTGTCATGCGTGCTTCAAGCCATGTGCTGTCATAAAGGTCTAATGATGGCAAGTCTAGGGACTAGGGCGTAATGATGATAACCCTTAGGTTCCCCTAGGCGCGTGCCCTCCCATGCGCTAGTGAAGTCAGTTTATAAAAGGGAGAAAGGAAGCTCCATTAGCATTTTTCGCTTCCTCTTTCTCTGTTCAGTTCTGGGCTTTGCTCAATGCGTTCGTTCTCCTCCGCAGTTTCTTCCCTTTCTGTCGTTCACCGCCGTAGTTTCTTGCTCGTTTTGCCACTAGTTTTATCTAACCTTGTAGGTTTTACTGTTTTTCTTCCGTTTTTTCCAAAATGTTTCATATTTTTAGGTTAGATTTTACTTGCGGTCGTAGAGATGCATGTGGTTAGGCATAAATTAGCTTTAGATAGGGAGACTTTCGATGGCTCTGTCGCCTGTGAATGTAGGCCCTGTCGTGGGTTTGTTTGACGTTTCTTGGCGGAAGAGACGGTATCAGTGTTCTATGAGAATTTTTTGATGATATTGGATTGTTTTCTGGGGTTTTCTTATTTCAAACTTTGTGTTTTTTGATGTGTCTCTGGGAGAGGTCAAAAACCATTTATCTGGGAAGGAACTCTCCTCACGGGAGCTAGGGTTTATCCCGCTGGTCGGGCGCCTAATGCGTTAGAAGGGAGTACCTCGTTTTCCTTTGAGCTGTTTTGAGTGAAGGCTCTGTTCGGAAACAGGGTCCTTGTTCACGCCCTTTCACTTGATTAGCCGTAAAAGGATGGATTTGATTCAATGTCGAATTCACTTTTGTCCTCTGTGTTTTAGGTACAATGGCCAACAATACAGAAGATGATATCATGAGCGAGCATATTGATTCTGCAACGAGTTCGTCTGGGAGCACCTCAATTGAGGAGATTACCTCGGGGGCACATGATCCTGGGCTAGGTGTGACCGAGCAGGGTGCATACGTGCAGGTTGAGCCCGTGGTCAATGACCTTTTAGCCTGGGTTGCACCAAACTCCATGCAGATTGTTTCTCATTTTGTTGAGAACCCAAATGAGGTGTTTACACTGGTGGCTCCGGGAATGGAGTCGATGGAAGCAGAGGAGGAGTGGGAAATTTACATCCTTTGGAAGGATCACCAGATATGTTAGAAGTTTGAAGCAAACCATATCCCTTTGTATGAAATTTTCTTTTGGGAGCTGGGTCTTCGGCTTCCTTTCTCTGATTTGCATGTGGTTATTTTTCGGCATCTCTGTCTTTCTCCTTCTCAACTTCATCCCAATTCAATCGCCTTCCTACAAACTTTTGAAATAGTATGTGGTTATTTGTAGATAGGAGCCATTGTCCCTTTGTCCTTTTATTGCTTCCGTCTCCAACAGGGGCAGTTTGGAAAGCTGTGGGGATGGGTTTCCTTGAAACAAGCCAACATGAAGTTGTTCAATGCTCACCTTGAATTTGTCTGCAACTTTAAGGAGATGCATATACTAGTTCAGCTCGTTTCAGAGAGGGCGTTATTAAATGTTTTTAGGAGTTTCCCGCAAGTTGACAAGGAGGGGAACCTTAAGCTGAATGAGGAAGGTAACCCGGTGGTGAAGCTGGTGCCAAAGTTTCATTTCCATTGGTCGAAGAAACACTTTGATCAGGGGACCGATAATTACATATAGAAGAGGGAGCAGTTGGGTCTCGAGGATATGGCCAACCACGGCCGTTTGTTGGCCTTTTTTGTGGGGATACCCCCTGTCCAGTGTGTGGGAAAAGGGGGAGGCCCTTGAAGAACGACCACGAGGAGCCCATGTTTGAACTAATGCTTATAAATATGAAGGAGTTCCTTGAATCTGAGGATCATGTGGTGTACTTGGGTAGTTTATCTTGTATTTTATATTCATCTTGCACGCATATTTCTTTAACCTCGTTCACTCACTCTTATTTGTTTTTTTTTGCAGGAAGGATGAATGCTGCTTAGGAGTGTATGATCAAGACGGTCACTGCTGCTCAGAAACCGAAGAAAATGAAGAAGTAAGGAAAAGGTCCTCAGGATGATGTGGGGACGGTCCCCTAAGCGGGTTCGAGGACATCGTCGTCTGGTCCTTTGGTCGGGTATTCTTCTCCTCAACCGGTGTCTTCGAGGTTCAAGAAAGCACGCGTTGAGTGTGCCGTTGATTTGACGGGTGAGTAAGACAAGGGTAAGTTTGATTTGCCTCCTTGCTTTCATGACAAGAAATTCTTCGAGGGATCCTCCTTGGAACTTCTCTGGGCTGAATCGCTGATGCTTGAGGGTATGGATCTCCCGAGTAAAAGGGGGATGCTAGGCCGAGATGCTAGTGCAGTAATTAGGGTGTTGAGAATGGAAGTGGCATATACCGAGGAGGGCATCTCCTTGGAGGGCGAGCTGAGGAAGTCTCAGGCTAAAGTGGGGACTCTCGAGGAGAAGCTTCTTGCAGCAAACGCTGCGAGCAAGGCGTCAAAGGAAAAATATGCCAAGGTCACCAAGGAGCACAACACCCTTTCGCTAGAGAATAAGTCCCTAGAAGAGTTGAACACTACTTTGAGGGTGGAGGCAGCTCCTGTCGAGGATGAGCCGGAAGAGGCCCAGGGTCTGAAAACCCATACAGAGTTGGTTGCCTGCCTCCAGTTGGCCGTAGATGATAATGTGGCTAATGTTGTGGGGGATTTCCAGAATGATATGGCGCAACTTAGGGTACTGAACCCAGGGGTGGAGTTTATCACGGTCGGGATGGGATTCCTCCACTACGTGGCAGATGGGAAGATTATTGTGCCCGACTCCCTTAAGGATGGAGATGATGGACCAGTAGAGGAGT